ATCTGGTTGAACTGTAAAGTGCCTTGAGATGACATGTGTTGTGAATTTGGCGCTATATAAATAAACTGAATTGAATTGAATTGAATTGAATTAAGTAGTATCTATTACTTAGACAGCTTTTTCCTTCTCCTCTTCCATTTTAAAAATAGACTCATTATTTTTTTTCCATTTCAGCTCATTTTCATTCTGGCCTGCTGGTATTTTAAGAAATAAAAAGCTTCAAAAATAATTAGTTTCATCCAGACAATTAATTTATTTGTGGTTGGACTCGGTGCTGCCCCAACTTGTTGCTCACCACAATAAATTGTTTTTCAAGATGATGCAAAGTTAAATGTGACACTGTTACCATAAAACTAAGAAAATGAAGTCTAAGGAAGTTATCGTCCAGAATAGTAGAAAAATTTTCCTTTAATAGGTTAGAGCAGTAAAGCTTCTGGCCTTAGCTATTTTTCCTGCATTACTTTTATACTTTAAATAGTTGTAAAATGGTATTTTTATACTTTTACTGGGGTAATAAGCTGAAGTTGATCCCCTAACTTCTACAAAAGTGTTTTGAAACAGTAGGATTTATACTCTACTGGAGTATAAACTTTGATACTTTTGACACCTCTGCATAAGTGAAAATAACATATTGTGGCTAAACTAGTAAAATTAAATTAAATTTTGTCAGCTATTGGTTTTGACAGAGTGGATGAAGTCCATACGAAAATATCTCACTGTGTGAACGAGGATCAGACCCACAAAAAAGAGGTTTTTAAAAGGTGGACAAGAACCTGCTGTGTTGTTACAGGTTAAATACCTTTCTGCTACACCTGTCAGTCATATTAGAATAGGCTGCTAATACCTTTGCAACTAAACCAGGCTAAGTGTGTCATCTGCTGAGGCTGACTGGGGTTCAAGGAGACAGAAGCAGACATAGAAAAAGAAGCATAGATAAAAAAGACAACTGTCAACCAGCTCCACAGGCGGCCCCATCCAGGAAACACACAGCCAGGCAGACGTGCTCTGGGCCAGCTCCCATGTCAGAGGATGAAGAGGGTACATCCAGTTAGTCACAGTCAGAGAAACAGGACTACACTGAAAAACAGGCCAAGCTCCAACATCTAGAAACAAAGGAGTTGATGGCAGCAGCACAGCTGATATTTCTCTCTAGGATGCTGTTGTGGTTTCAAGTCTTCAGACTAATCAGGATTTATGGCTGAAGTAAACCTCAGAATCACAAGCAAACATGGAAAAGCAGAATTCCCTTTGAGTTCTTTCAAATCATGTTTAAAAACCCTTTTTCTATGAGTGGCCTTGGACTGATGGTTCAAACAGAATCATTATTAATTCCAGTCTATAATCCAACTTTTTATTCATCACACCTTTGCAACAGGTTCATGTTTTTAATCCTCTGAAGGAGCGTTTTTCAGCCTGCATGCCCTCCTGCACGTTTCATATGTTCTTCTGCTAAAACACACCTGTTTGAGATGATGGCTGTTCAGGAAAGCCTGTTAATGCACTAACAATAGAATCAGGAGTGACTAAGCTTGGAAACGTTTGAAACATGCAGTACAGTGCTTTAAAGAGCAGACTTCAAAGCTACAGACATGAAGCTTTTTGACTGACTGCTTGCTGAAATGAGCTGCAGAAATAAACGTTCCACACCTTTAAGAAGCAGCTGACAGTGTTTTGCTTCAGCTGAGCATCTGCATACTGGGCAAAGGCTGAGAGTCTGAGTTATCATAGCGCTACTGTCTGAAGAGCGGATCAGGTTATATCCATGTTGTTTTTGTTTGTGATGCCACGTGATAGAAGAACAATGTTCTTGTATCCTGTTTGTCGTGTTTGTCTCTTATCAAACTGCAGCCAGTAAAAACAGGTTCCAGCAGATGCGTCACCTGGCCTTGATCATTCTTTGCTCTAATGCCTCTATTCTCATCAAGGCCCGCCTCTTTTTCACAAGGGAAAATAAGAATTGAAATTAGACACTCCACAACATTACATGATAAAAAGTTTTGTAATTCTCCAACTCTGGTGAATGTAATCCAAGCACAACGGTCTCTGTATGGCCACTGAAGGCCCTACGATGGGGCATCATCACCTTAAGATACTTTCATCTCATCAAACGTCTCCTGTGGTGTGCATCCTTTCAAATACCAAAACTTTATCACTGCTGCACACTCAACAAGCTCCACTTCAGACCGCACTCAGTTCAAACAGCTGATTAGGTCAGAGCTGTAATTGTCCACTTAATCTATAGAGATATAAATACTTGCACATGCAACTAGATCAAACATGTGGAAGTTGATCAGTGGCGTTACTTATTGAACGCCCCTCGTACTGTTTAGAGTCGCCACAGAAGAAGGTTTACTAAAGAAGGGAGATAATAATTCTTCTGTGGTGGCTGACAGTGGGCAGGAGGAGACACCATGGAACAGGAAGACAAAGTGATTTAAAGGAAAGGTCCGCTCATATTCAGAATACAAACTTCTGAAAGTACTTTAAATATGAAG